CCTCAAAAAGAGGGTACTGGGGAACGGCCTCGCTCAGCAGCCCCTCACCACCCTAAAGCAGGTCCTCACTGTGGGGAGCCCCTCGCTTCCTGTCCCCCCAGAAAGGGAGGGAGTCAGGGCCTTGGTGATGTGAGTCTTGGGTCCCAGGAGGCTGGTGTTGAGTCCCCAGGCCCGTCCCCTCACCCTGAGACAGATGGGGCTCTGCAAGGCTGGGCCAAGCCATGCTGGCAGGGCACCAGGGACGGACGGTGATGAACATATTTCATGGGTAAAAATAGACCTTTAGTGTCCAGAGCCAGCTGTCACCTGCCCCACTAACCAGCAGAGGAACACATTCCCGCAGAGCCTCTGCCTGTCCCTGAAGTTCCTCAGGATGCTTTCTCTCCCCTGCCCTGCCTGGGTAGCTAAATTTGCTGTCTTCCCTCTTCCATGGTCCCTGAATTTGTGGCCTTCTGCTGCCAGGCACATCCCTAGGGCGGCCACCAGTGCATCAGGGTTGTAGCTTACGGAGAAGTGTGCTTGGTTACATCGGTCCAGGTGACAGCTGTGGCACCAGCAGCCCTGTAGGATCCTGAACGCTGTGGTTAAACTCCGGAACAGCCCTCCTGTGCTTTGTTTTCTGTTGTCTCTTTCAATTCCCTCCCCCAGCTTTCTCCCATCACTGATTCACTCTTCCTCGAACTAGCCAGCCCTCGTATGTGGCTGTCACAGAAGCTCAGGGCATTGTTTTTCCATCTGTCAGTGCTCTTAATTGGATTTTCTTTTAAATGCTATTTGCCTGATTTATTTATGGAAGTGGAGAAAAGTGTAACAGTGCATCTCTTTTTAGGAGCAGTTAGTTAGACTTGTCTTTATAAAACATATTTATGTCTAGATGAGCAAATGACTCCCCCTCCCTATTCCTTTTCTTCCTGTGCGTCTACAGCACCCCCGGAAAGAGCACCTTTGGTAAAGACTGTTTTAGGGGTCATTTGTTTGAGCCAAAACTATATGGTCTGCGAATTATTTTCCCTATGGTTACAGGGATTTAAGCCGAATGGTTAGAGTCTGATTGTGGCTCGCAGGTTGGACCCACCCAACGGGACGTGCAACGGCGCTGAAACAGTGCGAGAGTTCTCCTTCCTCGGGACGTCGTGAGGAACCGAGCGGGTTTTCTATCGTTGTCTCCCGTTCTTTTCCTTTCAGACGGTGTTTGTCGGAAAGAACAAGCCGCAGAAAGATCCCCTGCGCCCCTTCCGCCGGCAGGGCTTCAAGCTGGAGGAGTACCTCATCGGCCAGCCCATCGGGAAGGGCTGCAGCGCCGCCGTGTACGAAGCGGCTGTTCCTCTGGTGTGCGATGGCCGGGGGCGTGCGGAGAGCGGCCGTCCCCCCGGGCAGGGGGCGGGCCGCGCCCCCGCGGGGGCATTTTTCTGAAGAGGAGCCCGTAGGGAAGCGCCACCCGACAGCGGCTTTTCCGTTGGCCATCAAGATGATGTGGAACATTTCGGTAAGGAGTTGGTCCGTAACCCCCTTGTCCGCCGCTGGGGCGGCCTGGCTGAAGCGTGTCACGCCGCAGTGCTGAAAGCGCTACTTCTGTAGAGCGCGTGCCGAAACAAAGCTGTTGAGACGTGACGTTGGAGACGTCGGTTGTCAGCGAGCAGCCCCAGAGCCAGGTGGTCAGCGTGCCTCATTCCTCTGGCGTGGCGCTGAGAGCTGCTGGTCATGGGGGTGATGCTTTGGGAAGGAAGGTTTTCTGCAGCTGGCCGTAAGGGGAAAGTAGAAGGACGGCAAGAGGTGGAAAGAAATAAGAAACGGAAAGCCACCACTGCCAGTGCTCTAGGAATTGGTGTCCTTGTCTCGGTGTCAGGGCAGAGAGGGATTTTCTCCTGCAAAGCGGGGCCAAGGTGCGAGTTGGTAACCTGCGTGCTGGGCCCCCTTGCTGTGAAGTGAATGAGCGAGATCGCGCGGGGGTTTCCCAGCCCCGGTGACTCTGGTGATCCACCCCCTCGGTGCGACTACTCCACATTTAAAAAAAATCCACGTGGCTTTTCCCATTGAAGAGGTTTTGTAGCGCTTGATTTGACAAGTGGATGTTCTAAGAGAGTCTTCCAGCGTGGCAGCATCTGAAACCCCTGGGGCTCCAGAAATCCCCTGGCATTTAGCTGTGGGCTTTACCAGTCAGGTTTGAGGGTTGAAAATGAGTGGTAATGTACAGCTCGGGGTGCTGACAGTGGAGATTACATTTGAAGAGCCAGATGGATTTCCTTCTGCAAGTAAAGGCCTTGCCACGTCCCTTGGTAAATTCTGTAAGTAGTCGATGGCCTTCCCTGGTTTTCAGAGTAGAGAAGGGAGTCCCATCGATCTAGTTTCCATGGATCTAACTCCAGATACAGTGCCAGCATCAAGATTATCTGCTTCAGTCTGTATTGAGGCTGGATGACTGCGGAGCTTAAAGCAATGTGGTGTGTAACTGCTGTTGCAGGCTGGTTCGTCGAGTGAAGCCATCCTCGATGCTATGGGCCGAGAGCTTGTTCCAGCCACGGGGGTTGCCTTAGCCGGAGAATATGGAGCCGTCTCTGGCCGCAGGTACAGTCCCTACGGAAATGGTGGAGGTTCTCAAGTGGTGACACCCTGATTTTATCTGTGAAATAATTTTGCAGCACACCTGTACCGGTAAGAAGACGGCCAGAGGTTTCTATAGTAGTTCCTGAAAGCAGATTAAAAGGAAGCCTCGGGATTATTAGTGGCTCAGGAGGCGCACGCGCCTGTGTTGTCTGAAGGGCGGTGCCTTCAGAAGTGCCGCACGCCTCAAACGTCCCGCAAGGACGCAGCTGGACGGCGCTGGCTGGGGAGGCGTAGTCCAGCAGGGTGCGGGAAGGGTGCGCCAGTAACTGGGGACCGCTTGGGGTCCGGCCAGCCGTCTGGGGGGTGACTGTGGCCAGGCACTTCTTTGCCCCGTGCCTTAGTTTCCCCGTGTGTAGAATGCGTTGGTAGCTGCAGGGGTAAAGGCTGGGAGGAGCCACTTTGGATGAAACGTCATTTAAACGTGCATCCCAGTGCTTTTTAACTGCAGAAGTACACATCTGCCATCGGTAACAGTTTGACTGTGGTAAACATCAAGCGATTGGACTGTGATACCTCTGTAGGACCGGTTTGGTGGTAAAGTGGGTGCTGGGTGGAAACTGTTCCATCGTGGGGAAACTGTCGAGGAAGAGTGTGGAAAACGACTCGGTTCTCACCCTTCCACCTGAGCGAGAAGTGAGCGAACAGCACAAAGGTGGAAAGTTGCACAGAAACTATTACATTCTCTCGAGTTAGCTCTCTTTTTGTTCACAAATGTCTCTTTTTTTTTTTGTTGGATTTGAAACAAGGGTGTCCGCAGCCCAGATTGTCTGATTTAAATTTCAAATACCTCTCAGCTGCCAATAGAAGTGAATAACGAATGCCGTGCGGTACATCGCTAGCTGAGAAGGCGACAGAGCAGCCAACGGGGTATTTGACATTCAGGGGACGAGAGGGGAGAGAGATGTTTGCAGCTACAGATAGGTAACCTGCCTTTCGTCCTAGTGACTGCCTCCTGCCTGTGCCATAAAGTAGAGCGTCTAAATTGATATGCCTAGTGTGAAGTTGACCTTCATTTTACATCTAACAAAGTAATTGTTTGGTTGGTGGTTTGTTTTTTTTTTCTCTAAAGCTGCTGTTGTAGTTCTTTTTGAGCCAAGAAGCAGCCTGTGACTAGCTCTGCCTTCGCTAGCAGCACGGAAGGGCTAGTAGGGTTTGAACAAAAATTAAAGGCTGCATGTTAAGTGTCAGGGTTTGCAGCAAAGCACCAGTATTTCCTGTTTGACCATTGTATAGAGGGAAATCCAGTTACAACAGAGCCTCTCTAGCAGCCACAGGTGAAGTCTTGGTCTGCATACCCTCCACTGGTGTGGCTGCAGACGGCGCTGCCTCGCTGGTGCTTCGGTTTGCTGTGGGAAGCGCCAGGGTAGATTTTCACCTCCGGAGAGAGTGCTGGGACCTGCCCACTGCTGCGGGGGTCTGCTCAGGCTGTGGGCGCTCTGCATCGACGTGGGAAGCGCTGGGCTGAGGCGCCGGTTGGGAGGTTGGCCGCGAGGGCAGGGAGGTTGCTGCCCCTCTTGTGTCTGACCGGATGGTTTCCAGGCTGTGGCCGTTGGAATGCTGGCTTAGTGCGCAGTCCTGTAATCTGTGCTGGGCAGCCTCCTTGCTCCCTCTGATGAGGTTTTCACGACAGAATGACGTGTTTGCAGAGGGCTTTGGAACCATTTGGTGGGGAGGACGGGCCGTGTTAGTGAAAGGTAGTTCCAGAAATAACAGAGATGCATCTGTGAGGAATCAGAACCGACCGGGAGATCGGTTCCTAATCTCTGGCATCTCTACTTTTGCGCAGAAAACCCGTCCTTGGGAGGAAGAAGTTACAGCCTCATCCGAATATAATCCAGGTGATCCGAGCATTCACGTCCTCTGTCCCTTTGCTGCCCGGAGCCTTCACGGACTATCCCGATGTTCTTCCGTTAAACCTAAATCCCAGGGGGATCGGTCACAGCCGCACGCTCTTCTTGGTGATGAAGAAGTAGGTAGAGAGAAGCTTGTTAAGCGAGTCAGGCTTTTCGTGGTGCTGCCCAGCGGGGCTGTGTGCGGGTCCTTGCAAGGGCTTGGCCTGGGCTGCTGCCAAAAAGCAGACTGTGCTCTTGGAAACGCCTCCTAAGACCCGTTCCAAGTCCTTGAGATTTTAATTCTTGTTCGACCATGAAGACAAGCCATTCTTTTTAATAATTACCCCAAAGTAAAGTAGGAAATGCGGAGCTTGTCCCCATTTGTCTGCCCTTCTCAGTCCGAATTTCACCCTGAGTCTGAACACGCCGCTAGAGCCGGAGTAGAATCGGTAATGAGATTTATTGGTGCTCGGTGTCTCTGGCTTTCTCAGTTGGGGTTTGGTTTTGAATGGGTATCGCAGTGGCCTTGGCATAAGAGCACCTTCTGTTTCCCACTCCTTTGTTCTGCCTGCATCTGGTGAAGGGCTCTGTCCCCAATGTCCTTCAAGAATATGCTCTTTCTCCCTGTCAGCACGTCTCCTCATTTCACTCGTACGATTTGCGTTATTAATCTGCCTCCTCTTTCACACAAAATATACCACTGGTGCGTAAAAACCCATGAGAATGACCGCTGTATCCCTGCGGCCCCTCGCCACGCTGTTAAGAAGCTCATTTGCTTGTCAGTTGTCAAAGTCGGGCAAGAAAACCGCAAATTCAGTGGTGGGTGTTGTTGCAAAAGAGAGGATTTGAAAGGAGCAGAGAGGGGAGCGGTGTCAGGTTGAGGCTGGGAGGTGGGAAGGCACCATGGAGGTCAGGAAGCATTTGGCATGTACAAGCGTGCTGCATCCCCAGCCAGCGATGAGCTTCCAGGATCCTAATTCAGAGGTTTTCCTGTTTCTGACTAGTTACCCGTGCACCCTGCGCCAGTATCTGCGGGAGAGCAGTCCGGATGTTTGTCTCTCCACGATGATGATTTTACAGCTCTTGGAAGGCGTGGACCATCTTGTTCGGCACGGAATAGCACACCGAGACCTGAAGTCTGACAACGTCCTGGTTGAATTTGATTCTGGTACGTAGATCGCCGAGTATAAATGTCACGTGCGGAAGCGATGCAGTCGTGTGGTTATCAGGGGAAGTCCTACCCAGGAGTGAGTTTGGGGGGGGAAAAAGAGCATCAAACCCTTGGAAGAATCTCGGGTTTTGTTTGTAGCTCGCTGCTTGCTGTCACTGCAGCACTGGGGAAGTCATTGATACTGCCTGTGCCTCAGGTTTTGGGTCATTAAAATGGACTTGAAAGGAGCGTTGCGCTGCAGTCCGACGGAGAGAGGCAGCGTATTGCTGAGGCGATGGCGTTGCACAAGCACAGCCAGCGCCTCGTGGGTGATGCCAGAGGTGCCTTTGCTTCAGCCTCTGGGCTCTGTCGTCTCTCAGTAGCCAAACAGCACGGGGCGGCTCTTAAACCTCCCCCCTCTCGGTCAGGTTAATAGTGCTGGTCCTGGGATGACGAAACATGAGTTGGAAGGGAAAGGAGCCGACAGCGGTAAAGGCAAAAGCTTGTTCTCCTGTCAGCCTCTAACTGTGGTTTTAATTACCTGAGCTCTTTTTTGACACGATTGAGATTCGAATGGGCAGGAAACGATAGCAGGCAGCCAGATCTATGTAATTAAAGGTCTTGGTACAGCAGCCGTGGAAGGTTTTCAGCGATATTAATGCCGTCCTTCTTTTCTCGAAGGAAAAGCTGCTCTGGAGCAATGTTGGATGCAGTTAGGAATGACCTAAAGCATCGATTTTTCCGTATCGGAGTCTGGAGCAGTGCAGTGGGTTGACCCTGGCCAGATGCCAAGTGCC